GAGGAGGCCTGAAGTTGACACAGGGCATCATCCTCATTACTTTTCACCTTGTTTACTGAAGCAGATGCTATCTGGGGAAATCAGAGAGCACTTCAGTGCAATGGAGGTTTTCTTGCCCCTGGAGAGCAAAGATTAGGAAGCTAGAGTTCAGAATCATCAACAGCCCCTAAAACCACCATCAGCTGGTGGCTTCCCGTTCCTATGTCTCACAAACATGAATGAATGAATGAATGAATGACAGCTTTCACAGACAGTGGAGGATGGAGTTTTACTGTAGGGAGAGCTCAAGGGGAGGAGGAAGCAGAGCTGCCATAGAGGAAGCAGGCTCCAAACAAGGCTGACCACCGAGGGTCCTGATGAGGGTTTCTAAAGCTTACTGGACTTCAGTGTGGATGGACTCCTTAGTCCAGTTGTCCTGCCCATGAGGTGTCCATGTGTCTCTCCATCCCTGTGTCTGCACAGCAGTCTCAGGTATACACCTTTCAGGGCCAATGAAGCCTCTGGCCACATGTGCCTTCCAAACAGCTATGTTCACTAGAGTTGTTAAGAGGAGCAGCCAGAGCCCAAGCCAGTGCCCCTAAATGGCCTCACAGCAAGATAAAACTTCCGTCAGAAACAAGCAGAGCTGTTTCCAAGCACCAGAAACAGAAACTCTCCATTTTCGAGGTCCCCACATGAGAACTGCCTGACATGTTCCTGTCCCTTGTTCTTACAACAGGCTCTGTCACCGAAGAACATGGGGCTCACCAGTTACAGCCAGTCTTCACCCAGGGAGCCCCTGCTCTGCCTCCGGAGTGCAGGGATTATGTGGTGCTGGGGTCCAAAGTCTGGCCTGCATGCCTGAGGGGCAGGAATTCTACCTCCTGAGCCATCTCCCTAACCCAGTTTCCTAGTCTCCATTCCTGATTTCTACTCGGAGTATTTTCCTCTCCTTGGTTGTGAGTCCTATCCTATTTCCTCAAGCAGACGTTCAGGTCCCTTGTCAAAGATCTTGTCCTCCACACTGGCCTCTCCACTCTTGCTCCCACAGCACTGTTGTTGGGGCTTCCATCATCAAAAGCTTTGTTCTGTTTTTCCTCCTGAGATGTCTTTGGTGTGTGTCCTCTCCAGAAGTGCACAATCTAATTTTCAGATGTTTGGAGATTTCCATCTGCCATCGATTTACAGCATCAGTCTGCTTTGGTCTGAAACAGTACTGTGTGGTTTGTTTTAAACTCGTTAGTGTTTTCTGGTCTGGTATGTAGTTTGCCTTGGTGGTATTTCTGTATGAATCTGAGAAGAGTATGCGCACCCTGCTGCTGGTGGATAAAAAAGTCTATAGATGTCAATTGCATCCAGTTGATTGACAGTGCTGTTCAGTTCAATTACATCCTTGTTGATTTTCTACCTGCTGGATCTGTCAGTCACTGATAAAGGGGTACTGAATTTACCAAGTACAATAGAGAATCCATCTACTTCTCCTTACCAGGCCTATGAGTTTTTGCCTCATGTATGTTGGCCCTCTGATTCTATGCACATGTACGTTAATGATTGACAGGTCTTCTTGGAGACTTGACCCCTTTATCATTCCTTAATAACTGTCATTATCCCTGATCATTTTCTTATTTTGAAATCTGTTTTATCCAAAATTAATATAGCTGTTTCAGCTGTCTTTTGGCTAATGTGAACACGGTGTTTCTTTCTCTGACCCTTTATGTTCTCTATTTGTGTTTTATATTTAAAGGAAGTTTTTAGATGATATTATTCAGAGTCTACTGTCTTTTATGAGCCATTTAGACCATGCCCTTCTAAGCTGACTGTGAATGCGTTTGGACCACTGTTGTGGTGATCTACCGTTGTAGACCTGTTTTGTCTTCACTGCACTTGACCTTTATTTAGTTTTGGTTTTTTCCTCTTTTCTAGTGTGTCTACTGTTAGTTCATGATTTTATAACATTCTCCCCACTCTCAGACTTGCAGATGCAGACCCTAACGTAGTTTTACAGTCACTCTGGAGTGTGGACTACATATTTAGAGCAAATGAGTCCACTTCCCAATAACATTACGTTGATTGTAGTTAACAGACGTGAACAGATTCCCCTAGTTTCTCTCTCCAAACCTTACCATCACACTGCCATCATTTGCTTCCCTGTCCATCTCTGTAGACCAATCACATCGCTGTTACATGCCTTCATAGCAAAGACTGTTCTCTGATAGATTAACAATATGAGGAACTAAAGATTTCAGTTTTTTCTTTATTCCTAAAACTAAATTTCTGACTTCTATCACATTTTTCTTCCTCTTTAGCATTTCAAATGGAATGGGTCTATTTGTTTTGAAAGTTAAATCAAACATTGCTGTGTACATTTAAAAAAATGAAGCTACTCACAGTTCTAGGTTACATTGTCCATTAAATTACCAACATAAAAGTCACACACGTTACATGGACAAACTTTATAGATTCAAGGTGAAGAGCTGTGTGAGTCGTGGTAAACATGTCTGAGATGCCATGTGGGCTGGAGTTGGATTACCTCCACAATACATCTAGAACCGAAAACAAACAAACAAAAAACACAACTATAGCTGCTGAGCCCCACAGGAAAATCTGACCTCATTATACACAATCCACCTAATCTGTGCTACCTAAGAAGAAGGATTTCATTCTGATTAACTCATTTGATTTTTATCTAAGTTTCTATCGCAAATATTCTCTCTGCACTCAGGAGCAGTGCCAGTAAAAACTTCTATGCCACTCAGGCAAGACAAGCACAGAATGACAGGTGAGGAAGTGAGGAAGTTTTCCTGAGTTAGGTGTCAACGCAGGTCTTTGGGTGGGAAGTCTGTTCAAGTCAGAGTCAGATCTCTGGTGACACGCTGGCATACCACGGGTTCTTCTGAAGCTTCTCTTTGTGTACTTGTAAATGAGGCCACTCTTGGGAACCAGGCCAAGGATGGAGGCCCTCTTAGTTTGGGCCAAAATTTTCTCCGATAATAGTTAGACTCTTAAGAAGGAATTAATTCTCTACAAAGTCTGACCATTTCTTTACAGTATTCAGGGGTGGTGTGGGAGCTACCTCTTCAGCACACCTGTTTGTTTGACCTACATACTGTGGAAACATCCACTCCTTAATCAAATGCTGCTAGTCTGTCTCCCAGCAAAAACTGACTACTCTAGGTGCCGTCTAAAGAGCAAGTCAAGTCCAAGGCTTACACACTTGACCTCTGGTGCAGTCATGTGGACACATCACATTCCTCTTTTCATGAATTCAGTTGACAGATGTTTACTTGGCCCAACATTAAGTACAGAACCCCACCCCCTAAAACCAAGGCAAAGGCAGTCATGTTGCAAATATCTTGAAAGTAGCTGATTAAATTTTATGTTGGCACAGCTCAGAGCTGCTTGTGTGTGCTACCCATAGGCATTAAAATTGTGCGTGCAAGGTGGGATGCTGCACGCCTGCCGTCCCAGAACTCAGGAGACAAGGTGGGATGCTGCACGCCTGCCGTCCCAGAACTCAGGAGACAAGGTGGGATGCTGCACGCCTGCCGTCCCAGAACTCAGGAGACAAGGTGGGATGCTGCACGCCTGCCGTCCCAGAACTCAGGAGACAAGGTGGGATGCTGCACGCCTGCCGTCCCAGAACTCAGGAGACAAGGTGGGATGCTGCACGCCTGCCGTCCCAGAACTCAGGAGACAAGCACAGCAAGACAGCCACAGCTGAAGGCCAGCCTGACCTGCCTAATGATTCCCGGAATGCCAGAGCTGCAGTAGACCTTGTCTCTACAACTAAAGCAACTGAGAGGCTTCTGTAAAGCAAAGGACACGGTCAACAAGACAAAACGACAGCCTACAGAATGGGAAAAGGTCTTCACCAACCCCACATCGGACAGAGGGCTGATCTCCAAAATATACAAAGAACCTATGAAATTGGTCATCAAAAGAACAAATAATCCAGTAAAAAATGGGGTACAGACCTAAACAGAGAACGTTCAACAGAGGAATCTAAAATGACTGAAAGACACTTAAGGAAAGGCTCAGCATCTTTATCCATCAGAGAAATGCAATTCAAAACACTTATTCCACTTATACCTGTAAAAATGGCCAAAATCAAAATCGCTGATGACAACTTATGCTGGAGAGGATGTGGGATAAAGCAAACACTCCTCCATTGCTGGTGGGAGTGCAAACTGGTACAGCCCTTTTGGATATAAGTATGGTGATCTTTCAGAAAATTAGGAAACAACCTTCCTCAAGACCCAGTAATACCACTTTTGCGTATATACTCAAAGGATGTTCAATCCTACCACAAGGACATGTGCTCAACTATGTTCACAGCAGCATTGTTTGTCACAGCCAGAACCGGGAAACAACCTAAATGCCCCTTGACCAAAGAATGGATAAGGAAAATGTAGTACATTTACACAATGGAGTACTACACAGCATAATAATAATAATGACATCTTGAAATTTGTGGGCAAATGGATGGATCTACAAAACATCATATTGACTGAGGTAACTCAGACCCAGAAAGAAAAATATCATATATACTCATAAGTTTTAGACATAAAAAAGCCTACAATTCACAATCCCTGAAAACCTAGGCAACAAAGAAGACCCTAAGAGAGGCACACATGTATCTAATTTACATGGAAAGTAGAATAAGACAAGATCTCCTGAGTAAATTGTAGCATGGGGACCATGGGAGAGGGTAGAAGGGGAGAGGATGGGAGGAGAGTGGAGAAAAATATATAGCTCAATAAAAACAATAAATAAATAAATTTTAAAAAACAAAGAAAACACAAATTTAAAAATTAAAACACAAAATTGAATCTTATTTTAATTTAAAAGCTTTAAGTGAATCAAATCTTAGCTGCTAATTGTGTATGGAGAGTGTGATGGGAAACATGGAGTGCTATTGTTAAAATCTTCCTCACAGTTCAGATTAGTCCCAGGGATGATGTCACAATGATAGCAGTATGAACCAGTGGGGTCTCTGTGGTAATCCCGTCTCTTTCCTCTAGGATTTTCAGACTGTTCTACCATCATTTGACCTCTTCTCAAAGTATGGAAAGCTATATTCGAAAGCTGGACAAATTGTGTAAAGGTAGGTATTTTTGCTCAGTACATCACAATGTATACAAAGTAAACAATCAAGAGAATGACTTAAATGTCAGGTACTTTAAAATGCTATAATCAGATTTATGTAAGATAAAATTCCATAAATTCCTTCCATTCTAATTTATTGGTTTTCAACACTTGATATTATTTCCCAAATATCTTTTCTAAAATGGACTAAAAATATATCAACAGAACTAAGAGAATTCTGGGATAATCTTTATCTTTTAATTAAATGACATAGTAAAGATTTACACAGTGTCTGAAAATATACCAGTGGTATCCAACAGGCCAAACTGTTTCTCAGTACTATATTAATACAATACAGTTAAAGTTTCTTTCCTTGGTATGTGCTTTATTTGAGGTACCAGATGCCTTGGGGGATGGAAGGAGTGTAGGGTCTCTGATAATTAGCCAAGTTTTTAGGATGGACAGGAAAGAAGATAAACAACTGATATCCAAGAGCCACATGAGCTTTCGGTGATGTTACATTTACCACTAAGATGTCTTAGGATAAAAATGATTGCAATCAAGCTAAGATCACAATACTAGACAGTATTGTGGTAAGCTTTGCACAACTTAAGCAGGCATGAGATGAATGAAAGACAGTTGAAGGGGAAGGTCAAGAATAAGAAATGAGTGGGAGAATTGCCCAGTGTCCTCCTGGGCCAACAGCTGAGGGAACACATTGCTCTGTTGGAAAAGACATGACATATACAAAGTCTTCCCTACATTTGGTATTCATATATCCTCTGCCACATACATCTTTGAAGGCTTCAATTTGGTTATTAATATATTAAAGACAGATACAAATACTCACTGCTTAACTGTTCCAAAAGAAAACATAAAAGGAAATGTAAAATATTCTAAATTAGTAGAAAAATGTATATATGTATCACCAAATAAAAACAGTGTCAAAGGTTCAAAGTATGATTACTATTGACTAGCAATGTATCTATGAGCCATAAGATGTTATATATGTGTGTGTAACTTTTAATTCAAAGATTTATCAATCCTATTTATAATTATTTTATAAAGAAGTATTTCTTGTGTGACACTGTTTCTAGGAGACATGAGCAGTCCTCTGTTTATGTCAGATGAGGGACTGATGACAGAAAACAATAATCACATCACCAAAGTCCACATTTGTGACCCAGCAAGTTTATTGCATTGTGTATAGGGGTGCTGGGAAGAAGTTACTTACAGGCTTATGAACACCTCAAATGCACCCGCATCACAGAGAGCCCACCCCAACCTGGGTGACAGCTCATGAAAGATGCACCCCTGAAGCTCTCTGCAGGACTTGTAGACAGCTCAGTGGGATAGGGAGGATACTCTCCTCAGCAGTTGTTACTGCTTATATAACCTCTGGGAGCGAGGGTCTTTGTGAATCTGTGTGGCTTCTAGGACTTTCTGACCATTGTGAGTTGTTTACTTCCTGAGTCTTAAGGGACAGTCTCCTTTAGAATTTCCTGAGTCTTAAGAAGCTTCCATCTAAGATGAAATGTTCTAATTCAGAGGAAATTACTAAATGACAATATTGGAAGCAACTTAAATGCTCATTAATATATAGTAACTTCAATGAGAGCACATATGCTATAAGTCTATGCTGTAATAAGTGCTCACAAATCTTTACCTGCTGAAATGACAGAGCACCTGCCTTGTATTTCTAAGAAGGCCACGTTTGATGCCACTGTGCAATTTGTTTACATAATAATGTATGTGTGTACATGTGCACACATATACAGCATGCCCATTTAACACATTTCTATGTACTCATATGTTAAATATGTGTATATACATTTATGTATTGCAGAAATGATAATGGTGGTATGTCTGGCTGGTAAGATTTTCCCAGATTCTGTTTTAAATTTCAACCTTTTTTTTGTTTGTTTGGTTGGTTTTTGTTTTTCAAGACAGGGTCTCAACTGTGTAACCCTAGCTGTCCTGGAACATCCTATGTAGACTAGGCGTACCTCGAACTCACAGAGGTCTGCCTGCCTATGCCTCTCCAGAGCTGGGATTAAAGGCATGCACTACCACTGCCCGGCTCAATTTATTATTAAATTTTCACTTAATCAAACAAAGACAGTGTTAAACCAAATTCTTCAGTAAGGTCTAATAGTTCTCCTCCACAATTACAAATACTGGGCCATTACAATTCTACTTACTCATGATAATTTAAGACAGTAATTTTTTCTGAAGATAAAATACTTGCTAAATTATTTATAGTGAAAGATGAGAGCAAGAGTAACAAATGTTTCACATTGGCTCTAATTAAACTGGGCACCGCAAAGACACCAGTGTGTGGCAGAATTTAAAGAAATTGTTGACGACTCCTCTTCGTGTTTTAAGTATTTTGTGGATTGGAAATATTAATTTCTTTCATTTGCCTTTGTATCTGGTCATTTTTTATAGCTTTTAATAGTTTTCTAAATCAATCTCACCTAAATTAGAATACCCTGGGCCCTGTCAGTGTTGTGGTGTCTTTTCAGCTACATTCATCCCACTAGACAGGAATAAGGAGAGCGGAAAGACATTGTCATGAGAAGCTGAGATCATTGTTTGTATTTATGAATGGGGCCCCATGTGGCATGCATGGGAGTTTTTCTGTATTGTGTTCTGATGAATGTCCCCAGTCTTCTTTGAAATGGGCTTTGGTCCAGCTTGTCTTCCTGCTAAAATGTGGTTCCATTTGGAAGTCAAATGAGATGAGTTTTAATTAAATGTTTGGTTAGACATGAAAAGCAGTGTACATTTTCCCCTTCGGCATATGAATGACTCAAAACTTGAAAATGAAAACTAAGTCCAGTTGACACCTGGGTTGGGAAAGGGGAAAATGGAAGCTTCCGTTGTCTTTGTACAGAGGAAACGGTATTCTAGCAACTAGGTGAGGAAGACAGACTGTATAAGGGAAGAGTGATAAGCAAGCATTTAAGCTACACATTTGCCTGCGGGGAGTAAAATTTTTAAGCCATTAAGAAAAATGATGAAGCCTAGCTATTCATATCAGCAGAGCATGAATTTGTAACTTTAAATCTAGTCATAGTGAGCTGGCAGAGAGCCAAGTGTGGACACTTCTGTATGACTCTGGTAAACTCCTCACTCTGAAGACTCTGTCCTCACCCACCGGCTCCGGGACGCCTGTGTTTTGCAGTAACTGAGGCAGAGTGTTAGACATTTCCTGCACTAGTGACTCCTGTCTTCCAGGTTGCTAATCCGGTGTGCTGTCACAGACATCAGACGGCAGGGAGAATAAGCACAGTGTCAGAGAGCCAAGGCACCGTCTTGACTTCCTAGCCAGGCACTGAGCCAAAGCTCAGTGAGAGAATGTGAGAATGTGAGAACTTGTTTTAACGAGGTGCTCTTCCTCTCTCAGTGTGCTGCTGACTTTAGAGAAGAGAAGACGATGAAATGAGGAAATGAGGTGAAGATGAAGTGAGCACGAACAGAAGATGCCACTGCCCAGGGGTCCAGGCGCTACCTACATGGTGGATGCACAACCTTGATCTCAGTTTTTTAACCTCTGTGTGCTCTTGTGAGCGTGCCCTCCCTCCCCCTTCCCCCACCTCCCTCCTCACTTCTCTTGCTCTCTTCCTCCTCCCCCCACTCCAGTTCTTTCTCTTGCTCTCACCTTCTCATATTCAGAAGAAAAGTTTAAAACCATCTCTGGTTCTTTATAAAATTTTCTAGTTTGAAAGGAAAATACGAGGGAGGCTCTTATAAGAACTAATCAGATTTACTGATAAGCCAGACTCACTGTGATCAATAAACGATGACATTTATTTTACAGTTTGTGTGTATTGTGTGGGGGAAATGACTTGTACGTGTCATGTGTGGTGTTTGTGAGGGTGAAGGAGGTATATATGAGTGTGTGGTGTGTGTAGCCGTGGGTGTGTAGAGGGATTTCATTTCCTCATTTATCTTTTGGGACAAGTACCTTTGGGCTTTTTACCTTTGAGAATACCTGTAACAACTAGAGTCACCATATTCTGACCCCCGTCACTCTACTTACAAGTGATGAACAACTTTGGTCTCAGTCCCTTTGTTACTGGACAACAATTAAAAACAGCTAACACATCAGTAGAACCGCAGAGTAGGAAAGTTTGCATAAGAGTTCTTCCCCTAGAAAAATAATGGGACATTATCCCTGCTATATATACTCATGTCTATTGTATGACACGATTCCGGAGAGACATAACAAACCTCTTTCAGCACCCACACAGAACCAGCAAAAGATTAAAACAAGTTCCAATTTGATGAGGTAGCGAGTTTTACTGAGGTTACTTATAGTCACAGTAATGGCTCAAAGAAAGACAGCTGCATTACCAAAAGCTCACCCCAGCAAAGGTGAAGACAGCTCGTGAAAGCTGGAAACGTAGAACCCACTGCACACTTTCCAGGCAGCTTTACAAGGTAATGGCTGTTTGCAGCTCTGTTGGCCTGCACCCCTTTCAGGCAGCTCAGCTTGCCTGAGAATCTCTCAGCAGTTCTCAGCCTAACCTAATCCTTACCCTAACTCTCATAAGCTCATAAGAAGGAGGAGACTGGTACATCTAGTCAGGTTCAGAGACTTCCTCAAACTTTTGAGTTGTTCAGTTGATTGCAGTATAGAATGTTTCATCTCAGAAGAAATTGCTACACAACAAATGTCCTTGAACTTGAAGTCCAGCGGACTCAGAGCAGTGAGTATGTGAGCCAAACTCCACTGTGCTCAAATACATAGACGGGAGCAGTAACAAAGTCATCTGGTCTTGTGGCTCTGGCTATTCCTCTATGACACTGTATTGTGGCTTGTTAAAAAGCCAGGCTCTAATAAAGTTCCTGTTTGTTTCAAAAGGCTTGAATTTTCCTAGGATGTTTGTGTTAAATAGACAACTAAGGTTCCCATGCCCTTGGTACCATCCCAAATGCATCCGCACAGTGAACTTTTCTGCTAGAGCTAGTGTGATGTTAATACTGACTGTCACCTCAGCAAGGGCTGCAGTTGCTTAGGAGACACGTTCTCTGCAAGCATGAGGACCTGCAGTCCAATCTCTAGCATCCGTGTACAATGCAGAGCATCACTGCACAAGCATGTAAACTCAGGGCTGGGGGTTAGAAACGGACCAGTGTGTCTGTCGGCTAAAGTAGTGAGCTTCATATTAATGAGAGATCCTATCCCAAGGGAAGAAGGTGGAGAGGAAGAAGGGAAGATGCCCAGTATACTCCTCGGGCCTCTGCATGCTCATACATGGCTGGGTGTACAGGCTCTCTCATGTGTATTACCACACATACACAGCACATACTGCAATCATCCAGCAATAGATAGATGACCTGGTATTTCTTTTCTTAAAAAGAATAATATGCTTTCATTATTTTTAAAATTGTAAACTATTGCATCATTAGTAAATTGATTATAATAAACTTAATTCTTCACAATACTAATTTACTTAATGGCCTAAAATGCACAATACTTTGAAATTTTCATGCATAAAATGTTCCATTTTTATTTTTGTCATTGTGGGAACACAAACATATCCTAAAAATAATTTTCCTGAGTAGTAATTTTGCTTAAAGACATCTTCTTTTATCAAGTATGTAGAGCTCACTTTACAGACTTTGTGTGATTAAAGAAGAAAGCACTGAGCCCTAGAATGGGAGTCTGTGTCCAGGCTTCTCCCCACTGCTCCCAGCTGAGATCCTTAACCATCCCTCCAGGGAGCTCAGTCAGGAAGGAAGACCACGCAAAGGTATACAGATGGGCACTGACCAGAGAAACCTCGGGAGACAACAGGTAAGAAACTTGAAGTACACAGCAGAAATAGGTGTTTTCATTTTCTGCTCCTGTTACAGAAGAGCACATTTTTTGTTAGAACAAATATCAACCAGAAGAGAAACATAAAATGCAAGACCACGCGCTTGACTATGTTAAAAAGACATCAAGGAGGCCATGCCACCAGAGAGGTGTGAGCCTCACCTGGAGGCATTTCTGGTCTTTCTAAACACTGCAGAAGAAAGGAACTAAAATCCAGGCAGACGATGACAGAGGAGAAATGACAAAGGAAAGCCACCTTTGTAGTCTCTTGGTGCTAGGGAGCTAGGTACTGAGTTCACGGATATGTGGGAGGTAGAATCAGTAAATAAAATACAGAATATGGCAGAAAACAGACATAGGGAGCACTGAAGTCTTCCTAGTCCATTTGCGATTCTCTATTTCTTCATCTAAGTTATAGATGTATCATTCATGAATTACATACTTTCCAGAAAGGATATTTAACTTCATCAAGTATGGAAGGCAAGAATGCAGGGGGTTAAGGCAAATACCGTGCCCCTGGTGAGCATTCTCTCTGAAGATGCCAGTCTTTGGCTTTCTCATATGATTATGGGCACTGAAAAGGGAGTGGCAAATGCACACTGTCTCATTTCTAAGAGAAGCTTTCAGTACTCACATGAAATTTCCATGGGACATTGACAAAGATTACAGTCATAAAATTTATGCAGAGGACAAGCAGAACTGGGTTCTTGTCTAGGCTCCTACTTTGGCAGACCATGACTGACTGTTTCAAGTGCCAAAGACACTTATTCTGCCTGCTGTCTTGGCAACACTTCTTGCCTAGCTTGCCTAGCCTCAAATTTATCACCTAAAAATTTAAGTGATAATTCTTTCAGGGTTACTAAAGGGTTAAAGTCACTTAGCTTGGCCCTTCTGATTCAACATTTTCTCAGTAAATTGTTAACATTGTTTGGATCGCTGACTACTGTCCAGGGCTGGCCAAAGCAGATAGGGAGATGTGGGGACACAAAGAGGGGCATCTGGAAACAAAGGTATGCATCTGTAGCTTCTCACACCCACGTTTTCCGGTCACCGTTGTCTCCCTGACTAACTGCCTTCCTGACCTAACTTTTCTCCTCTATAGCTCTAATAAAAGTCCACACCACTTGTTTAGAATGATTGTGAGCACTGAGCACATTGGACACGCACATCCATCATCTTGTGCTCTGTCTAGACTTACTCCGTCCTCCCTGACATCATGTTAACATTGGCTCTGGGCTAACCTTTCTCTAGACTTTGTCTTTCCTGACTGACATCATGTTAACATTGGCCCTGGGCTAACCTTTCTCTAGACTTGGTCTTTCCTGACTGACATCATGTTAACATTGGCCCTGGGCTAACCTTTCTCTAGACTTCGTCTTTCCTGACTGACATCATGTAACCTGTGACCTTGATTTAGCCTTTCTAGACATCGTAACAAACATCTGAGGCAGGAGATTGAAGTGTAGTATTAGGGGCGGCGGGGCCTCTTCCCCAGCACCCCAGCACCCCAGCCACCCGCTCGGCTAGCTTATGCCCGAAATAACAACACACAAACTGTATTCATTTAAACACTGCTTGGCCCATTCTCTTCTAGGCTAATTCTCACATATTAATTTAGCCCATCTCTAATCATCTGTGTATGGCACCCCAAGGTGCGCTTACCAGGAAGATTCTAGCCTATGTCCATCCTGGGTCGGAGCTTCATCCCGGGAGCAGGGCATGGCGTCTCTCCTGAGGCGTCTGCTCCGGAGAGCAGAGCTGTCAAGTCTCTGAGATCACTTCCTCTTCCTCCCAGTATCCTGTTCCGTTTTCTCCTCCCACCTATCTTCTAACCAATAAAATGGGCCAGGGCAGTTCCTTTATTAGCCAATGACCTTCCTCCATCATTGAAGAGGTTTTATTTCATCTCACAGTTTCAGAAGACTTAGTCCATGGTTGTTTGGCCTCTTGGTTGAACACAACCCGGTAACAGTGGGGATCTGTGATGGAGAACCTTCTTGACCACATGGTAGACAGGAAAAGACAGAACAACGAAGAGAAGCTGGACACACCTGGGATGTGGCTTCTAAAGGCTCCAGTGCCCTACTTCTTCCAGGTAGGCCCCACTTCCTGCCGTTGACAGAACTCCAAAAAGTAGTGCTGGTGTGAGGGCCAAGCGTTCACACAGGTGTATCTTCAACCCACCACAAGGTTCGATTTCCGAAACTGTATTCCTATCTCAAGGAAAGTGTGCCATGCATTTCAAAAGTTTCTGTGGACTGTCCTAAGGCTCAGTGAAGGTTGATGGTAGTGTCGTGTTTTTCTCTGAGGTGCACATATTCATCCTTTCAAACTGACTAAAAAGGGAAGTTTGGTCCATATCTCTGTCTTTGAATGAAACTTTTGTACCACATACAATAAATGGTGAGGGCATTCTCATGAAGTGAAAAGCCGTTGACAATTGCGTGTTCACATTAGCTCTTGTGTCTCAAATTTTACAAACTTTCTAAGTAATCTTTTATATTTCAAAACCTGTGACCTTATGTTTTTGGTAATTCCTACCAAAAAAAAAATAAGTCAAATGAAAAACAAAGCTTGGCAGACAAAAGCAAATTGGAACAGTAAATTGGACAGTGAATAACAGCCTCATAATGGGGGATTTTGCTGCATATTTTGACCACTTAAGTTAATTTAAACCACTTAAAATGCATTTAAATCTTGGTAC